TATTACACGGGTGCTTGTTAAAAAATTATTTTTAAATTTTAAATTAATGAGAAAACTATATTAAATTTAGTTTATACCACTTAAATTCATCTAATAAATAAATAAGTGTAAAAACATATAGGTGCGACATATTTAATTATATAAAAATACGATAATAAATATATAAATTACACACTTTTTTCGACCAACTAGAGGTCATGTGCAAGTTGGGGATGTGTTCGCCACATTCCCATTTATTTCGTGTGCAGGGGCGGAGCCACCCCAAAGGTTGGGTGGGCTCCAGCCCGGCCTTAATATTTTGGGTTTGTTAATTTTATACTGGTAAAAAAATATTTAAACTCATGTTACATTAGATTAGTCAAGTGTTAATCTTATTTTGGCCCAAAAATTTTAATATTTGTTTTACATTAAATCAATTAATGATATATTTGAAATTATTTAAATTTCTTACTACTTTTTTTTTAAATTATTTATGTCATTGTTTGTGTTTATTTTTTACTGTTTGATTAAATAATTTTATTCGAGACAATATTTGATTGTGTTGGACTTTCATTGGAATACTTATATTCGAATTAATATTTGATTGTATTAGATATTATTCGAGACAACATTTGATTGAAATTATAGATTTCACAATGATAGTTGATTATATGAAATTTACTACTAACTCTCATTTATTTGTCTAAAAGTTCAATGAAATGACCTATGTACTTTAAATGACATCATATAACAAGAATGACATGATTATCACATGTTTTAGAGTAGTTATTTTGATAAATTATATTTTTTAATTAAAATTCAAGTACATGAGAAAATTTATTTGTGTACATTTTTAAAGAAAAATAATAAAAAATAAATATTTTTCATATATATAAAAGAATACTTACACTCACATGTTTTTGTTAAAGGAGAGTCATATCTTCATATAAAATACGACTAGTTAAAAAATAAAATAATTTTTATTTTATAAATGCAACATTCATTTTTTGATATTATTTACCTTGTGATTCATGTAATTTATATTAACTTTCAAAAATTGTTTGATACTTTGACTTCTTTATACATGTGCCTATCTAGATTTTTATCGAGTATTTCAAGTTCGAACTCGTGCTCATTTAATAAACGAGTTTTCCTGACTCAACTCGTTTAATAAACAAATAAATTAGCTTGTGTTCGACTCGTTCAAACTCAGTTCCAGTCATTTAATAAACTTTAAAACTTAAACCAAAACTCAAACTTTAACCGAATTATTCACGAACACATTCGACTTTTTTGATACACAAACTAGACTAGTCGTTCGAGTTTGACTCGTTAAGTATACAAGCAAGTCAAGTCAAACTTTTATAAATCAAATCGAATTATGTCAGATAACAACTCGGTTCGAATAACAGATTGATATTTTGCAGCGCCGGGTGAAATTTTTTTCAGACTTTGCCCCCTACGTGTGGGTGTGGCGAAGCTTGCTCTTGAAGAGTCTTGTGAGGATTATTTCTCGTGTTGGTTCTTTTGACCCAAGTATGCATCGCATTTACCATTTTGGTTTTTCGCGTTTAGCAACTTTAGATGTGTTGGCTTGTGATTGGCGCTTGGGGTTTTAGCAGAGAGGGGATAAGAGTACGTAGGCGAGCTTGCATTCTGTGCTTCAATGGCGAATAAATTTGTCGAGTTTACACTACCGATGGACACACGCACCGATGAAATCCACTCTCCCTTTCTCTAAGTTTCAGTCCCATGTAATTTCCTTTTCTTTGTATAAACTTATTATTCTAGCTAGGATTTTTCAATTAAAGTTTTGTTTTTTGAAAATTTGTAATGTTGAACTAGTGATGGTCTATTTTCCCACAGGCACTTGCATTCTTGAATTCAATAGTTTTGGTAAATCAGCAAAATCAAGTGGTTGTAATCGCAACTGGTTACAATTACTGTCACTATGTGTTTAATTCATCGGCCACACAGAGTCAAAACCTGCTTGCAGAGCATTTGCTGCAGAAGTTGGATGAATTTGTCGAGAAAGATAAATATGTCTTGAGGACTCGGTAAATGTTATTTAGTTTGCCAATTTTTCTCCAATTGAAAATTATTGAGAATTTCATCTATCTTGGATGTCAATGGTAACTTTTCTGAACAGGCTTCGTACATAACTGGAGGCGTGTATGCGAAGCCTCAAGTGTTGGATGGTTCATTTCAGTATCTTTCATTAGGAACTGCACTATATT